CTTTTCACACATGGTCTCCTGGACAGAAACAAAGGAAATGGCTGCTATATACTGGGGCCTGGTTTGAAATAAAGAAAGAAGAAAAGAAGAATTTCACTCTATCCCCAGCTCAAAAGTCACGTGATAAACATACCCAGGCCCTTCTTTCCTTTCCCATAGGAAAAACGCACAGCTTTCTAGCACAAAGCCTCACCTATAAAGCTGACACCTTCTTCGTTCCCTTGATTGATCTCTTGTTGCTGAGGTTCCTCAGACTGATTTTCTACAGAGAGATTTCCCAACTGAGAATCCACGACATGCAATAAGAAGGTGAAGAAGAAAAGAAAGAGAAATGATATCAGCGGATGACGCTGGGACTTGGAAGAGAAGGCACATCTTCCACAGATTTTCTTAGAAAAATATTGGCAATTGGTAAAAATTGTAGGATTTCTACCCTCATTTTCTTGACCCTTTGGCATACAAAAAGGCCATCCCTACCGGAACCCACTGAAAGGCATCATATTGTGTCACTGCACATACAACAGTGCTCGACTGAGTGCAGTGCCAAGGGTAGAGGTAAACCTGAAATTTACTTGGAAAATGATGCAGATGAGGAGGATGCACCTTGTTTTAAGTGGAAGAGGATCTCCCCTATTTTGGGGGCGGTTATTCGGTTTCAAAATAAAATGAACACGGACCCCACATCTTCCTTTCAAGGACCATAAAGAATAAATTCCAGCAGAACAGCCTCAAACAGGGAGCGAGTGCAGGAGTCATGGGCTCCCCATTTCAGATTCGAAGTCCCTGGCATGGATTGCTCTCACCTCTAGCTCTTCCTGCTTTCTCTCTTCTGCCTGATTCAGACCCAGGAAACCTTCTGCCAGCGACACCGCCTGGGAAGTGGTCTCGGCTCCACATTCTCTCACCCAGCTCGACATCTCCAGGGGGAGGATAGCCAGGAACTGCTCCAAGATGACCAGGTCCAGGATCTGAGCCTTTGTATGTTGCTCTGGCTTGAGCCACTGACGGCAAAGGTGGTGGAGTCTAGTACAAAGCTCTCGAGGACCATCAGCCTCCTCGTAGGAGAATTCCCTGAATTTCTGGCACTGCGGATCAGGTCCAGCACCTGAGCCTTTGTGTGTTGCTCTGGCTTGAGCCACTGACGGCAAAGGTGGTGGAGTCGGGTACAAACCTCTCGAGGACCATCAGCCTCCTCGTAGGAGAATTTCCTGAATTTCTGACACTGCGTATCTGAGCTGGGCATCTCCTCATCTAGGACCTTCTCCACTGTTCTTTCAGAGCACGTCCCAAGGCTTGTTAACTGCATAACATCTGGGTCTCTTCCTGCTCTGGGGAGGGGTGTGTGTTGGTCTTCTATTTTATTCTGTACTCAACACTACTACCAATGCAGTCCTTGACCCACTCTCGTCCTGCAGAGCAAATACTGTAAGTTCCTTAACAAACGATATGACTGAAGCACTGCAAAGCAAAGACACTCCCATGTGAGCGTGTGCCAGACCAAAAAAATGCCACAAAGAGAAACCAGCTAAGTCTCATCTCCAGCAGGGAAGACAGAAGGATCCTAAGGCCAAGATGGCAGAAAGGCATGTGGGGATGTCCGTTCACCTCAGAGGCACAGACTAATGTGCTTGATACCGTCAGAGACTGAGAAATGGAACCATCTTCCCTTTTCCCCTGACTATTCTATTCAAATTCATTCTTCACCTTAAGCCGTCAAAGCCTAAGCCTTTCCCCTGACTTTCTTTTTTACTTTGCTGCCTTAATATTAAGTGTGCACCGAGCAACTTCTGATGTGGAAGAAATCTTCAGACACCCATTGTTTTGGTTTTAAAAGGCTAGGCATCAATTAATGCAGTGCACCTGTTCATAACATCTACACAGTCTTGTGAAATTCGCATGCTTATTCAGGAAGAATGCTTTAGCAGGTGACGGTTCTATTTCATATTTCACCAGCTAGGAGTTTATGTAATTTTAATTTCTTAAATTTATACCCCACCCATCTAGACTGAATTCTACTCTGGACAGCTAGTCTAGTTTTCTGACTAGAATAGCACCATGCTGTGCACCAGACAGAATCCTTTACATGGAGAGCTCATAATTTCCATCCTCTATTTACTTATTATTTATTTATTTACTTATTTAAAATAATTTTATCCAACCTATTTATTTATTTATTTATTTAATTTATACCCCGCCTATCTAGTCAATTGTG